TTTTATTTATTTGTGAGAGAGAGAATGAGAGACAGAGAACATGAGAGGGAGGAGGGTCAGAGGGAGAAGCAGACTCCCTGCTGAGCAGGGAGCCTGATGTGGGACTCGATCCTGGGACTCCAGGATCATGACCTGAGCCGAAGGCAGTCGCTTAACCAACTGAGCCACCCAGGCGCCCGAGAGCTCAGCTTTTTCATTGTTTCATTTCTGAGTGGCCACTGAACTGCTTCACATTTTTACGGAGACTTCTAAAAACGTAGGGAAAAATCTCAAGCACCTCTGTCTCAATTATTGATATTATCAGCTGACATACAATACACATCTTCAGATGCTAACTTTGAAATCTCTTTCCTAGTTCCTTCAAAGGGACCAGATACGTGGAGAGAATGGAGTTCTGATGGAAAAAATTTAATAATCTATTGGAAGGTAAATACCTGATTTTCCCCTGAATATTTACATAACGATATTGGGCTAAACTACTTAACTTACGAATGGTACTTGAGTGATCCAGAAACCCGGGTTTCCGAGACTGGCTCTTCACAGTCCTGCTGCAAATCTAACCTGGCTCCTCCCAACCCCCCGACTCCTCATCACGCCCCATTCACCACAGTCAGTTTGGTGAAGATCTTCTCTGACAGCTCTGAGCATTCTTCAGTTTGATTTCATGAAGCCTGTAAAGGACCTCAGGATTTCATGAATTCCATCTGTCTCACTCAAACCGGAAACATAGCAAGAAGCTACAAGTTAGAATCTCCGTTGTGTTGATGCTATGCTTTTTTCTCCAATGAGTAGGAAACTTTTTACTATCTCATATGTAATTTGTTTTCCCTTAGTTGTATTATTATATGCCACTTAAAAAGGTTTTCATGGTTTTGTACAGTTTTTAGATATAATATAAATTGCATTATGGTTTCACTAGTTTTTCTCTACTAGAGCAGACATTTTTGTTGCTATAATTTTTATCTGATTTGCAGGGATCAAACATCAAAACATCAAACATCAAAAACAAACATTTGTTTTCTATATCAGATTTTATAAGAGCAGTCATAATTGGATTCCTTTGACTGGTGAATTTTGTTACTGATAGCAAAACATTTTTATAAAAATTTGACAGCGGTACAGCTTTGAGTAAAGTCGGTGTGCAAATTCATCGTGAGTTCCGTTGCTTTGTGATGGTCTGTATATGGCTGTGTAGCCCTCTTAATCTTGATTAGAAAATCCGCTGGCTACTCACAGTTGTCTGTGAGATTTCCTGATGATGTAGTAACAATTATACAGCCACTTCAGTGTGTCACTTCTCAGCCTTTCGGCTAAGATCAGGTGTAGTATCTGTTCGTAACGGTTTAATGCCTGATACGTCCTCTGTCCGAAGACAATATATCACATGGGTTTTTGGAATTAGGAGAAAGGATAGGAGCTCAGTCTGCCCACTCCACACATCAGCCTGGTGTTGCAGGACCATTACTTCAGTGTAGAGAAAGTTTGGGATGTTGTTTAAACTAGATGAATGCCTAACCAAAGATTAAAAATACTGAGGTGATTGTAACTTCAGAGACTAGGTTGATGGTTCTGCTGTTTGCCAAGGAGGAGCATATTTGGGTGGAAAATGAAGTTGTTTGGGGTTGACTTTTTCAAAATGTATTCTAAAAATATGTGCCACTGGGATGTCCAAGTAGAGTCCAATAGGTGGTGGTTTGGTGTGAGGCTCTGGAGTTCAGGGGAGAAGTCGGAGCTAAAGACACAGCTTTGAGTAGCATGTAAGTGGGATCACTCAGGGAGAGCATGCAGGGTGGAAAGAGGCCAAGGGTGGACCCCTGGGTCTAAGTGATAGCAGCGTATAAAGGACCAGCAAAGGAGGAGGATCCAGCAGAGGAGAGTGGGAAGGTTAGAGGACAGGAAGACCAGAAAAAAATGGTAAAGCAGAAGCCAAGGGTGGGGATTCTGTGAAGGAGTGAGCGGTCAGCAGCGTCACACGAAGCCCGTGAGCCTTAGGATGGTAATGGGTCCAATAGACCAGGCCATCAGGGAGTCACTGTTACGGAGCAGTGTTTTCAGCAGAGTATTAACATCAAGGTCAGTCTGGATCAGAGGGTCCCGTGCATTGTCGTATAGTCTTGAAAAGCAGTTCAGCTCCACAAATAAAAAGGTTTGAATGTTTCCTTATATCCAGTAAGTCTACTTTGGAAATCCACATTAAAGAATTAATCCTAACTATGAAAAAGAAAAAAGGGGCATGAAAAGGTACACCAAAGTATTATTTTAGTATTGTGAAAAGTTGGAAACAACTTGAATTTCATTTATTTAAGGAATATTCAAGTAAACTACTAAAAATACTACATAAAATATAAAGCCATTAAAGTGTATATATTATGAACAAGTATATTATAGAAAGGTGAAAAAAAGATAAGGTTGTATGATTAAAACAATGTTAATTAAAAAAGCTACATCTTAGAAAAACAACTTGAAGAAAATATCAAAATGTAAGAGTATTTAAGAAATGGGAATATGGGAGCATTTTACGGTTTTTTTTTTTTTAACTTTTGTATCGTTTCCAAATTTTCTGGTAATGGGCATGTACTATTTTAAGAAAATAATAAATGTTTTTTAAAAACTATGATGCCATAATTTTTTTTTAAGTTTTATTTATTTAAGTATTCTCTACCAGCATGGGGCTCAACTCATAGCCCTGAGATCACGAGTCACATGCTGCACTGGCTGAGCCAGCCAGCCAGCCACCCTGATGCCATAATTTTTTATGTTTTGTTTGATAGAGCAGTCATTCCTGTTACTTTTTTTGTTTTGCTTCTGAAAAATGTGAGGCTAAGACTGGTTTGCATTTCCTTAATTTTTAAATTTCTCTGCGCTCTTATTGCTTACGGTAAGTATAGTTTTTCTTTAGCATCACTTCCCTGACCTGTCCTGGCCTCGGTGCCTCTTAAATCTGTGTCTGACACCGTTCACAACTCCCTTGATTCTGCTGTTACCTTGTCATGATTGACGCAGTGCCTGGTTTAGACTTGATGGTCTTGCCTCATCACACAGCCGGTTTTGCAGGTTTCTTGACAGAATTTATTTTTCTGTTTCTCATAGCCTTTACCCATTAATGAAGCGAATGGGAAAATACTTTCCTATAATGTATCATGTTCACTCGATGAGGAGACACAGTCCCTTTCTGAGATCCCTGATCCTCAACACAAGGCAGAACTACAACTTGATAAAAATGACTACATCATCAGTGTGGTGGCAAAAAATTCTGTTGGCTCATCGCCACCTTCTAAAATAGCTAGTATGGAAATTCCAAATGGTGAGTACTTAAGATAATGTAGTATATAAGAACAGGAAATTAAAGTGAAACATTTTAAGGGGTGTTTGCTTGCTCTTATAAGGTCAGCTCTCTTCTCATATCCCCTGCTGCTGCTGATCCATGAAGAGGAACAAGCCGATTAATGTCCAGAATTCAATGAGAGACAGCAGTTATTCATCCTTAGGGATGACTCCAGACTCTGTGCTGTTGGATAAAATAATGAGTGTACCCAGTTACTTTAGTGCATAGTGTTGGAGAGTTGTGGTGGTGGATATTACTCTTAGTAGGAAATGTTTCAGCCATTTATTTCTCCTAAGACCACGGGAGCTGATGCTATATCAGCTGGGCTGTTTTACAAATGTCAGACAGGAAATATAATTAACGTATTTTTAATGGCGGCTTTGTCGACAAGACATTCTTTATTAATAGGAACCCTTTATTGATAAATTCTTTTTAAAGTCTAAATTAGATCTTCAATATAAGCTTTAAAAAGTCACCATGGTGCAATTTTAAAATTAACTTAGTGCCTTTCTTTAAATGTATTACCAGTAATCCATAATATTTAATCCATAGCCACTTCTGCCTCTTAGGTCATTCCTCTTCCAGGTCATTCCCTGCTCCCCCCCCCATTTTGCTGTCCTGTCCCAAAATGGGGGTGCCTGCCTATGACCACCCACTCCTAAAGGAAGAAAAGTTGGTGGATCCGGTCACGGTCCTCCAAATATCTTTTCAACTCTTTTTTTTTTTTTTTTAAGATTTTATTTATTTATTTGAGAGAGAGAAAGAGCACAGTGGGGGAGGGTGGGGCAGAGGGAGAGGGAGAAGCAGGCTCCCTGCTGAGCAAGGAGCCCAACACGGGACTCGATCCCAGGACCCTGGGATCATGACCTGAGCCGAAGGCAGACGCCTAACCGGCTGAGCCACCCAGGCGCCCCTGGTCCCACAGCTTTTTGATCCCGCTGCATGTCAGCCGATTCTCCATTCCTCAGCCCGTCTCCAGGAGCCCCTTCATAGGCTTGAGAGGAAGAGAAGGGCTGGTCCATCCACTTGCTCACCACTCGTTATTGTGCTCCTACTCTGTAGGTCTGGCCCCGGGGTTGGGGTTGCAGGCACAGGCCCCCGCCCACTCTCACAGAGCTCACATCCGTAGTGGGCGAGGAGAAGAGAGATTGGGACTGGCCACTCATGCTCTGCTCCTGCCTGCCACCTGTGTTGCTACCCTCCTCTAGTGCCCGCATGCCCTCAGCCCCGTCCGTCCTGGCCCTGACCTGCACACCCCAGCATGCTGCGTCACCACCTGTCCGAGGTGCCCTTGCATTACTTTTTCCAGCTTCTGAGTTTATCTGTACATCCGGGTAATTACCTTTTTACAGCAAAAATAACAGAGCAACACTTCTAAACTTTGCTAGAAGTTTATCTAGTTTGAGCACTCTTTTAAAATTTCTGTCCAATGAAGTAGTTTTTCTAACTCCTGCCCATTTTCATGAGATTTACTTCTGTTACTGTTTTTAATACAAGTAACATGTACTTCTTTCTTGTTGAAGATGATCTCAAAGTGGAGCAGGCTGTCGGAATGGGAAATGGAATTCTCCTCACTTGGAATTATGATCCCAATATGACCTGTGACTATGTTATTAAATGGTGTAACTCATCTCGGTCTGAACCCTGCCTTATGGACTGGAAAAAAGTCCCTTCAAACAGCACTGAAGCTGTAATAGAATCTGGTAAGATGAACTCAGAGTTGCCTCTCAGTGAAAGCTGTTACAAAATATTTTTAAAAGAGCCATACATGGTGTGACTGGGTATAATGAGTGATCATTTTCCCCCTTACCACTGGAGTGGGTGTGAATTGACCTTTCTGGAAAGTGCTTTGTAGCAGTGTGTGTATCAAAGGGTTTGTATCTTTTTAATCTAGTAATTGTCTAGGAATTTATTCTAAGAAATAATCAGAGAGCAACACAGGATTGCATCTAAGAAGGTTCACCGTAGTGTTATTTATAATCACAAAAATTGAAACCCCAAATAGCAAATAGGAGAATGAGTAAATTACAGTGTATCTGTAAAGTGGAATGTTAAGTAGCAGCCCAGATTGCGACAAAGCAATGGAGGAATGCTCCTGAAGAAAGGAGACCATGAAGCCCTAAGCACTGTGGTCTCACCCCTCGTCCTTGGCCTCTGTTGCCCAAGCGCAGGTTACTGGGCAGAGCCGAGAACAAAGGCCTTGCTTCCATCACCACTGATGTCGGACAAGGGCCATCCGTGTGGCAGGAGGCACAGTGTGTGGTGGGGGGGGGGGGGGGGAACAGTGCCCAGCGCCTGACTGTTGACAAGCCAGGAGTCCTGTAAAGGGGAGCTGCTTTTGCTAGGAGCAACCTCTAAAGTTCAGCCATGAGGAGTCTGTAGTAACCTGCAGGCTAATGCAGCCTGGTCCTTGGATATCACAGCCCTGTTTCCACCATCATTGTTCCTTCTGAGTAGCTGGTGAGTGTTCTATGCCTCTACCCTTGGGAATTCTGGGCTGGTCCGAGTGCAGTGGTGTTTACCCTTGGGAATTCTAGAACCTGCCGCCTTGGTGGTGATGCTCCTCAGAGTCATTCCTCTGTCCTGGTTCTCCCTTACGTTGAGGTGAAGCTCAGGAGAGCAAGCAGCTGCTGATACTTCTCTCCCAGGAGCCAGTGCTACCCACTTATTTCACCATCAAATGGTGAAGATGAGTCCCATCCAGTAGATTAGTCCAAGTGGGTTTAGATTATTTGCCAGTTCTACTTGAGATACTTGGTGGTCCCTTTATCCTTTCTTAGAGCCTGCCTCCCTTATCAGGGTGCCTGGCACACCCCACCCTCCTCTCCTGCACCTCCCCTTTGCACTCCCCCCACCTGTAGCTGCCTAAGCCTTATGCCAGCCTCGTCAACGCCATGTGAATTCTCGTCCCTTTTCCACCTCTCTCACCTGGGCTTTGAGAATAACCAGGGTGGACTGGGGCAGGCTCGGTGGTGTGGAGAGGGTTCTCCTTAGACAGAGTGCCTGGGGACAGAGATTTAATCTGAGACCTGTAGGAATAGAGGGAGAACCTCCCGTGTCACGGCAGATGAGCAGAGGCCCCACAGTGGTTGAGAAAGGCTCAGAGAAGTCAGGTGACTTGCCCAAGTTCACAGAACCAGCGTGTGACAGCACCA